TTTGTCCGATGAATTTTCATACAGGATCCCTGTTGTGCGCCGTATTCTCTCCTTCGTGTTTGGAATTCTTGGAAAAGATAGTAAACATAACACACTTTTTGTTTAAAAAGTCGTCGCAAACGGACAACGGTGGTTATGAAATAAAAAATAAAAATTTATTATACAGGGTTAGTCACGAGAGAATTACTTCTGAAAATTATTTTTACGCAACCCAAAATACTAATACCCTGTACCACTTGATATTATCTACATTTAAAATGAAATGCCTAATCCATGATTGCTTTGACTTTGGCGGTGTCACTTTGACGTTAAATAATTTTTAACATTTTTTTTCATTGTTGACTCGCCTCTAGAGCCCCATTGGATCGACGACATACAGTCAGATCAATCTGGGCTATACTGAAGCCGTAAGTGCTCTACCAATGTTGTTCGCCGCTAATGTGCATGTGTTAATTCGCCATCTCTCCGTCACCTAGAGCCTCTTCGAAGTGCAAATCTGCAACCTCTGGACTTCTTCGGCCATCCATTTACAAAAAAGCCGTAGCATCGTAAAAGGAATTTTTAGAAATAATTTTCTCGTGATTAATCGGTTGCAAAAGATCAAGAGGCACACTGACAAATTTATTAGCGGCGCCGGAGGAGATTTCCGAATGGCTGCGGTACCACCATGGACACTCGCGTAACCTCCTTTTCCACAATTGTCAAAATGAGATTGCCAAACTCAAAGCAATCATGGATTAAGCATTTCATTTTAAATTCAGTTAGTATCAAGTGGTACATGGTATTCGTATTTTGGGTTGCGTAAAAATAATTTTCAGAAGTAATTCTCTCGTGACTAACCCTGTATATGATTCCGTTGTTGTGGTGAAATTAAATATAAAAATAATAAGAAACAAACTACACGTAACAAAAAATTATATAAGCAGACCTTCTGTCAATAAACAATTTTTTTATTCATCATGTATATATATATATATTTTTTGACCTACAAAATTTTGAGTTTTATTTTGAGACGTTGCTTAACCCATAAGCAGTCGCGCGTGGGTAAAAATGACCCAAGCCGTACATTTTGTCAAATATCCTTTTTCGCTTAATCCCTATGGACTTCCGGTTTCATGAATTCCTTAATTATTCTTACCTGCGTCGACCCATACCAATTACCTGCACTTTATGTGAGCCGACAAATATGCCCTTTTTTTGTAATATTTTTTTTTAAATAAAAATTTTACTTTATATGATATTACGCTTACGGGTTAAGTTGTTAGGTAAAATGGGTTTGACTATACAGCCTGTTATTGAAAGGTACGTACAAAATAAAATCGGCAATTGGTCTCGAAGTATGGATGCTAAAACTCAAAAAAAGTTCAGGTAAAAGTCTTGTCCTTTTAGAGATAAACATTACTAAAATTTATGCCCAAGTTCGTTGTACGCCTCTGATAAAAAGATCATCTTTCGTTTCTATAGCAACATTTAGTCTTGACAAAAGTTTTATTGTTACAGTTGCTAGGATTTACTAAAATAAATTAATTTTACCTATTTATCCTTCAGTAACGTCTAAAAAGGTTGGATAAGGGTTAATTTTCCCCTTGAAATTTTGATAACACAAAATAAGTATATCAGACTTCTTAGACTTCGCGAAGAACTGTCCATTTTGTTGTACGTACCTTTCAATAACACCCTGTATATTAATAAGACGCCTTTGCCAAGACAGACGCACTAGAAAACTGTTTTGGATGGATTAGGAAACAAAATGGAAATTCTATTAACCCCACATCTAATCAATTTCAAATGGCTTTTAGAAAATTAATCATACAAGATTATTTTGATGAAACGAACACAGGTAATCAAAACTGCGAGCCTGATATGGAAGAAATTTTAAAGTTAAATGTAGGTCGTCGTTTTAATGAAAAAGAATCAGTCACCACGATGCAGAAGACCACCTTAAAAGATTGTGATTATCACTTTCACACAGCTGAACAAAACGCAATTAGATATATCTGTGGCTACCTAATTCGGAATGTTTATTAGTACACAATTGTAGTGAATGTGAAAAATATGCAAATGAACATAAAAGTTTAGACAACACAAGCATATATTCACATTTCAGAGCCTACCAAACGAAGAATTGCGAGTTATTTGGTAAATTATATATGCCAAACGATAGTCTCTTTTTTTTTACATTTGTGAATTAGAGCAAATTTTTAGTGAAAATTTTGAAAATATAATTTTACAAACAACTACTTTGTTGAAATTTTTAAATTTATATAAGCAAGCTACATTTGTTCATTCATGCCAAAACTTTCCATACGATTATTTGCTTGCTTTGTATGCTAGGATGAGATTATTTTATGCACTAAAATTTGTAAATGCTAGCTTTAAATTTACAAATGCCAAAGGTGAAAAAATTAATAGAAAGAAAATAATTTGGCAGCATTAACTTTTTTCCTTTTTGTAATTTAATTTTTATTTTATTTATTTTTTCTTAAATAAACCTCTTTCTTTTTAGATGAATTTATTACATTATTTTTACAATGATAATTAAACCTCAAGTATTCGGGGAAAGAATGTGCAAATTGTCAAATTGTGTAAGTAATAAAATAAAAACTGTAACAAATCATCGTGTTTATAAATTAAATATCGACTTTTCTTTTTTCTTATTGCGATTCACGATTATACGATTTGAGCAAACTACACAGTTTGCAATAAATTGCGTACACGAATCAATTTTTGAAATTGTAAATGAAGTAATACTTTTTAAATTGGGTGGCGACATCTAGGAATAGTTTAGGCAACGACCACCCATGACGGCTTAAAATTCGGGTCAGAAAGAACAAAGGCGCCGACACGAGCTGTCTCTACTGATTGTTATCTCTACTGTGGCATAACCTTTAACAAAAACGATAGAAGACGACCCAAATTACATCCAGTAAAAATTTCAACTTTGAATTTTTACTCAAACATAAGTTAACATGGGGTATAAAATTTAACATGGGAATCCCTATGGCCACTTTTAAAAAAGATGCACTGTATATAATGTACACTTAACATTTCACAACAATCCGTCGCGTAGTTGCAGACTATTTAATAAAATTACAATAGATAGACGACAGACAAGAGCGGGAGATAGACGTCGACAAAACTTGAAGTAACACATTCATCAACATGGCCCTATTGCAATACTTCCCTAGCTTACACTCAGAAAATAACATAGTAAACTGCCGTTTGTTCACATATCAACCACTTTTATACACCATGCTTCAAGTTGCATCTTGCATCTTGTGTTTCATTTTTTATGTATTCGTGAGGCATAGATGCGTTTTCTCAAATGTCCCAATGATCTAATAAATATGATCAATTAATCAATGTAAATAGTCGTACTACGCACGTGATGCATTTGTGTTTTGTAGGAAATTTGCATGTACAACGATTTGGTGGGATACCTTTCCATAAAATGCATTTAGCATGTGGTTAATTTAAACAAGTTACCATGACTTAACTACATTCCAGTAGAACTGCTGCCAAGTTCTAAGACTTTGACCACAACTGCAACTTTGGAATGAAATGACTCTGAATGCAAAGACTACAAATCGAATTCAGCCAAAATAATATAGAAGCTGGTCACTTTCACATAAAAAAAGTAATTATATCCAGTAACAATATGCAATGCTGAGTAAAATTTAACAATCATTGCAGTTACAAAAAAGTTAGTGTGTGTGTTTCATGTTATGTGACAAATAACCAGAGCAACAGTATTTATTAAATACGTTAGACAATAATTTTAATCTCATTCCAAAATAATAGTACATTACGTGCCAAGTATAGAAAAGTGAAGTTTTACCAAACGAGTATGGTTCGTTTGAGTACGAGTGAGCGAAGCGAACTTAAAGACCATACGAGTTGTGAAAACACTTTTCTATCGAGGCGCGTATACTATTTTTTCACATTTCATAACCAGATATTATTTGCGTTAATAATTTTAAATATTATGTAAAAGTCAAGTACGAATAAAAAATAATAGTAGGTAACGCTTTTCAATAACGTAGCAACCAAGCAGAACTTGTTTTTCGCATACAACAACAGTCAAACAATTTTAAACTAAATCAGAAATGGATTCACGGAATATTCCCGTTAAGTGAGGATATTTTGAATGCTGCCCGCGAAGCTTGCACGAGTCTGCTCCCTGCGAAATCAAAGGAAAAATACGAGAAGACGTATGGAGTATTTTGCCAGTGGCGGGAAGCGAAAAAAGTGATAGTTGCTATGCAGTAATGGTTGGCTATTCAGTAAAATGAGTTTTTACTGTACGATTTGAAGTGCATAAATCTAATGTATTACTGAATGAAATGCGAAAAAAAAAATTAAATGTATAGCATCATAAGCACTGCAGAATATCCAGTCTCCTATTTTTTTCTATATTCTGTAGTAAAACATATCTTCTAAGTTTATATGGCAGCAGTAAAATTGGCTCTTTTGTGTAAGACCCAGCAAATTATTCCACTAAAAAGAAACCGCGGTGGCTGCAAATACTGCGCTTGCCGCTCACTACCTACCATGCGACGCAGGGACCAACTTGTAAATTTTAGTATAAAAAGAAAGAATACACGCAATTAATTGGACTTTTCTATACAAACCGGGTGTAGATCCAACTGTTTGAGTTTCAACGAATTGATTACAATAAAGAAAAATATTTACCTTGTAGTGTGCATTGTATTGTCAAAAGTATCAGGTAAAAACATTTGCACAAACCTGAAGCCAGATTTGTTAGCCTTCAATCTTTGAACGTGTGCAAATGATTTATAGAAGTAAGGGACGCCTCCCTAAAGTACCCCATTATTAGTTGTCAAGAACTGTATTGCTGCCATATAATATAATCTTACAAGATATGTTTTGCTACATATACTTGTATTTACTTTTAATAATTTAAACTGACCTCTTATTTAAATTTAACATGCACACAAACAATACAAGGTAGTGACATTATTACTGAAAAAAAAAAATACCTAAAACGAAACTGCTCTCCCAAATCTTTTTCATCTCTTGGATTAATGTCAAAAATACCAGTAAACGGATACTGGTGTCCACCATATGCATATTCTGTTCCATATACTTCAACCCCTACAAATGTTAAATAACACCAAGTTAAAAGAAAATTGTCGTTTACCTGAGTGAAATACACCTAACCCAATATTAGATGTATACTCATTAATTTTATACATATCATAGACATTTAACAGTACAGGTTCACGAGCCATTTTATTAGGAAGTAGTTCATCGGAGCCTGAATCTCTTGTAACACTCATGCAACTGAACGGAAGATTACATGTCAGGCCATTAGAAAACATTTCTGAAACTGAATAAATTAAGCGTCTATGAACAATTAATTATATTTGGACGTATTTACCCTGAGTGCAATATTGTGTATACTAACTGGCGAAAGTTGCAGATGAGTACAATTTTGCTTAAATTATTAATTCATATCGATGGAAAACAACATCGACTAAATTATCACAAATATTTTTAAGACAACTGAAAACTTATGCAAAACCTATAAAAATCAAACAATCTAGATAGCAGGTTATATTTTGACAACTTTGACATTTAATATTTAGCACCAAAGATATTGAATAAGTATAGATAAATGATGCCGTATACATTCCATGTGACCAATATCTTGGTGGTGAGAGGAGTGAGGCGCGAGAGGTTTATTCCCCCCGAGTACAGTGGCAGGAGAGTTTCAGTTTAATACAATATTAAGAAAAACAAAAAATACTAGTTTTTAAACAAAAGATGTGGTTAGTACTCTTCTCACACGTTCGAGTATCTGCTCATTCTAAAATCTGGAACAATGGCAAATGTAACTCGCTGATTTTAAAACTAATGCACAGCAATAAAATCTAGTTACGCTACTGACTCGGTCCGTCCATTCCAGTGATATGTTATACTCCTATTATATACCTATAGGGCGCCATATTGGAGTCGCAAAACGCAAACCACAATACACCTAGAACCGGGGGTAGTTTGTAGTCTAAAACTAATGAGGTGTATTTAATTTTTCAAGTTTACATTGAATCTTATAGTAACTGCTTAATCGCGTCGTTATAATCGTCAGTGGAATTGTTGTTTACTATAAATTGTAATTCAACAATATTTACCACTCAAAACAACATGTGTTTACCGTGTTTTTATTGTCACCCAAGATTACCGGAATATTGTACCACAGTATAGACATCAATCAGTAGGGACAACTCGTGTCGGCGCCTTTGATCTTTCTGACCCCAATTTTAAGCCGTCATGGGTGGTCGTTGCCCAAAATATTTCTAGATGTCGCCACCCAATTTAAAAAGAATCACAAACGCTTCATTTTAAAATTGATTCGTGTACACAATGTACTACACTTTGTGCAAATGAATTTTTGGAAAAGAATAAAAATAGTGTAATAACAATAACATTTTGTAACTAAAGTCGCGATCTTTTCTATAGAACCACTCCCTAGTGTAAATTTTCAAAATTTGTTTGGTGTAAGTGACCTTGACGGGTTTCTGGGGCAAAACATGTGTCAAAAATTTGACAGGTTAGATGGCCCCATTGTCAATGTAGATATTTTATTTTAATAAATAGATCAACAGAACATACAGTCTGCACGGGATACAGTGCGGCATAGCTGAGGGCAACCGCAACATTCGTGTTGTGCTAGTTTCGATTGCCATATCAACTACCGCTACCAACCGCGTTCGGCGAAATTACTAGATGACAGGGCTACCAACTTGACTTTTTATGGAGTGGTTCCGTAGAAATGACCGCTACTGTAGTTGATCTTAGAAACCACACAGTTCATTATAGTAAATAATTAATTAAGCGCCCTATAACAGAAATGTCGTGTTGAAATTTAGATGTGGCCCCGCTTCTCTGATTACGATTTTACATTTCACTAATTTCTTTTTTATGATGGTTGTAAATGGTTGTAAAATTCAACGTTATTAGAAAACGCTAATATATGTACATTTATTTTTTTTTACAAAAAAAAAAAAAAAATAAACAGTAAACAATGGTCCTATGAAAACGTGCATAAAGTGGGATTTATAAACTTGCTGTTGACGTTGAAGTTGCCGCTGCAGTTGCTGTTCCCGCTGACGTTGCTGCTAGAGCTGAAAATTGTCATTTATAAACTCCGTTAGCAGTTGCCGTTCGCACAGGCCGCAGCTGTCAAATCCAATTGTGAGGTTACGTTTTCACGTCAACATTGCGTACTTTCGAACGAGTTAATTGTTTTAAGTGAAATGAAGTCAACCAAAATGCGACAAAAGTACTTATTAGGTTCTCTCGGCTATCTTTTGTGTGTTTACGCAGCCTCATTATTTGATTTTGAAATTTGATTTTCGTGGAATTAGTGCTGTCAACCAGAAAAAGGTCCCGCCTACTTCAGGGAATCTTCTTTCAAGTTGGCAGCACTGCACACCACCTCAATTTGATTGATTGAAAACCCAACGTCAACGGCAACGTAACGGCGAAAGATAAAAGTTGGTCATCTCGAACGTCATCCCAACGGCGTGCCAACTTCCAACGGCAACGTCAACGGATGATATAAACAACGCATACCTTTGCTGTATATTTATCTTCCAACGGCAACGTCAACGGCGAACAGCAACGTCAGCGTCAAGTTTATAAATCGACCTTAACGCTTTTTAAAATGTCTCTGTGAAAATTACACTTAACTACAATAATTACACCGGAAGATCAGCCTTAAATCATCAAAATCAATGCAACTAAACTGCCAAATTTCAAATATTTCAGATTAAAGTCACTACATAACCAAAGTTCAATGTCCCAACGTGTAAGAAAGAGAAGTACCTAGTGTCCCTAGATTTAGAGAGTACCGCAAACTGTCGCCATTTTTACTCCAATAAGCGGCGACAAATTTGAATTTGCACATCCCAGGCGGAATTTATGAGTTCATTTTCGAGTTTACTTAAGGCGGTCGAATCACCTTTTGAATATTTTTTCATTATGCAGCAAATTTAGTGATCTGAACTGAATTGATATTTTTGTTGTGCGATGTAAGCTTACAAAGTCGTTTGTCTTTTATAAATAAAAAGTAAATCAGAATTAATGTTGTTATTACTTTAAATCACCACAAGTACATTGACATACTTTTAGAAAAACTTTCAGCCTGTTGCTTTCAACAGTTTCAATTGACGCGATTAACCTAACCAAAACCCGCAGCTAAAATCTTCGTATAATATAACTGATGTTTGATATTTGACAGTGACAGAACGTCAACCGCCATTTTCACTCCATTTATACGGCCTTACCAATTGCGGTACTGTGTAAGAAAGTGAAGTACCTTGCGTTGCGCGTCCTCATACGGTCACAAGACAAACGACCGCCCATGAAAACGGGTCAGTAAAAATAGCGAGTTGTCCCTACTGATTGATATCTATACTGTGATTCTACTACCACTACTTGATTCTTTAGCAACACAGTTAAAAATGAACAATCTAAGTATGAATTAACGTTTGCTTTATTGCCAACGCGCGGAATTGTATCTCATACGCTAGAATCAGTGCTGTCTCGGCGATAGTTTGATTACAAATATATTTTTCTTTTGGATTATTTCAACATAATATAACATTTCAAGGTCACAAATCTGTGGTCCTGTGGTTGAAAAATTAAAAAGGGCATCGAGTATTATTATTATTTGAAGTAATATAGTAATATAATAAGCATTCACGTTCGGTAGAAGTAACTGACAGAATTTTTTCTGTGGTTAAGTTGCAATCTTAAGATCACTAGAAATTAAAGGTTGGCATCAACTGTCTAATTTTTTAATTCAAATGTCAAATCTGAATTGTCTGGAAAAAACGAAGTTTTTCTAATTTTAACACGCTTCGTTTGAAGAAAATCCTTAAATACAGCGTGGCAACAATTTCCACAAAAGTAGTCATAAGAAAGCCCATTTTAAAGGAAAAGAAACAAGAAATATTTCGTGGTTTTGAAAAAATTACTGGGAGAAATAGACAATGCGTGGGTAAAACGGAAACAGTTAAACTGGTGGCAGAAATATTTTCCGTAAAGTTCGCTAGTGTTCTCGAGTGTTTTTCGAATTTTAAAATAATACCGATACAACGGCGTCGGTGCCGTTAATATTATACTCAGAATCAGAAAGACGACTGCCCAGATTTATATACCTACATGCTTTGTTGGGTCCGCTCTACAATTGGTTTTTAAGTTTATATAATCGTTATTGTTTTGTAAAAGGGAACATACTCGGCTTGGAGAATAATTGTACGTACTACACGTATAAATTTAGGTTTCCGAAGGCGAAGTTTTTCACATTAAATCGCTACCAGAATCAAATTTCTAAAGCGGTATCTCTAATTGCGTGATAGTGGTGAAGATTTACTTTTCATTTTCTTGGATGAGACATGGATGCACCAACACGGATCCATGGTAAAATTGTGGATCCATGATGATGACATCAAAGCTTGTCCTCCTAAAATAACTAGTGAAGAGAAAAGATTCACATTTTTACATGCGGGTTGCTCTTTGGGCTTTTAGAGCGATGCAATTTTCTCCTGGATTCAAAAATAGATTCACCAGATCACCAGAAAACCATCACATTTTCGATATTTGACATTTACTTACTTACATGTCACATTTTCGATACCTAATTTCTGACATTCTAGTTATACATTATACACTAGAACAATTATGTCCGCAGTTACACAGCTTAAAAAAAAAGTTACCAAATCTAGTTACATCTACCGAACGTGAATTCCTTATAGAAGTAGTTTTTTTACTAGCTGTAAACACTCCTAGCGACGCACTGGCTACGTACGACCTTGTGGACCAGATCAAGGCGTCCCCGCTACTCGCCGTAAAACACACCTTACTTCAACTGGGGGATTGCAGCGGTGAAACAAATTCCCGCGTACTGTTTATTGCATAAGTAAACCTTTGTACAAGTGACGGTATGCTTAATAAATCACAACATACTAAGTTTTGTCTGGAAAGTTGAATTATCTGGATTCTAGATTTCATTGAGTAGCAACTAGGACATCGAGCCTTCATGAAAATAAGGAGTTATGCATGAAAAGTGCTAGAGATATAAAATTAAGCTGAAACAAATGTTGGACACTAGTATCCATTTTGAAAACACTTTAGTTGGAGGCATTTGTTCAACAATTGTCTACAGAAAAAACTTATTTATATGTTTGATTCTTATTTATTGAAAATAAATAAGTGGACTGTATTTTTACTTTGTTTTATTTTAACTTCCTTCGATGGTTACATTGCAACGATCCGACTTACACTAATAATAATGTCCACACAAAAATGACATGATGGGGGGGAAATAGCCCGTCCAAACCCCGCCGCCAGAGGTGGTGCGAGCCGCACTTCAGACGGCGGCCGCCACAGGGCGGCCGCCACAGGGCGGCCGCCTTACAAGGTTGAGGGTCCGCACACGTGCAACTGCCTTACAAAGACACCGCCAACACGTGGAGGCCGCACCGACAAAATATAAAAAATGTCCTAAACATAATTTAACAAATTATACACGTAATTGTCTATGTATTTGACAC